ATTGTACCCAGGGTCTTCACATTGAGCTGTGTATCCTCAGCCCAGCTCTCTCTCTCTCTCTCTCTCTCTCTCTCTCTCTCTCTCTCTCTCTCTCTCCCCAATACAGAATCTTGCTATGTAGTCCAGGTTAGCCTGTAACTCTTGGTGATCCTCCTGCCTCAGGGTCACAGAGTGTTGAGATTACACCTTGTGCCACCACAGCAGGCTGCTGTTTTCATCTTTAAACTGGTCATTATACCAGGTCCCTTCTAGAATTTCTAAGAAGGGAAAATGAGACCCTTCTGTAGAGATGCAGCCCCTGGCACACAGTGGGAGCTCAGTAAATGGGGAGAGAGCTCAGCTCCCAAGTTGCTCCTCCCTCTCCCCTGAACCTGCACTGGCTCCCCATTACCCCAGAACTGTGCGGCCAGCACCCTCCTCCTCCAGCCTCATCTCTATAGTAGTTTTGGAAGTATGGGCATTTTCTCTATATTGATTCTTCCTACCCAGGAACAAGGGATATCTTTCCATTTTCTTATATCCTCTTTGATCTCCTGTTTCAGAGTGCTATAGTTTTCAGTGTAGAGGTCTTTTGCTTCCTTTGTTAGGTTGATTCCTAGATATTTCATTTTTTGGATGCTATTGTATTTTTCTTTTTTTTTTGGTACCGGGGATCGAACTTGGCTCCCTGCACTTGAGCAGCGGGCTGTGAAACCACTGAGCTAAATCCCCGGCTAGATGCTATTGTAAAAGGAACTGTTTCCCTAATTTCTCTCTCAATGAGTCTGCTATTTGTGTATAAGAAGGCTATTGTTTTTTGAGTGTTGATCTTGTATCCAGCTACTCTACTGAATCTGTCAATTAGGTCTAGAAGTCTATTGGCAGAGTTTTTTGGATCTTCTGTGTAAATTATCATATCATCAGCAAATAATGACAGTTTCACTTCTTCCTTTCCTATCTTTATTCCTTTTATTTCTTTCTCTTGTCTAATTGCTATGGCTAATGTTTCCAGAACTATATTGAACAGGAGTGGTGATAGTGGGCATCCTTGCCTTGTTCCTGATTTTAGCATGAAAGTTTTCAGTTTTTGACCATTTAGTATGATGTTGGGTGTTGGTTTTTCATAGCCTTAATCAGGTTGAAATAAAGACCTTCTATTCCAATTTTCTGTAGCGCTTTTATCATGAATGGGTGTTGGATTTTGTCAAATGCCTTTTTCTGCATCTATTGAGATGACCATATGGTTTTTGTCCTTGACTCTGTTAATATAGTGTATTACATTTATTGATTTACAGATGTTGAACCATCCTTGCGTCCCTGGGATAAATCTGACTTGGTCAGGGTGTATGATCTTCTTGATGACCCTCT